AAGTAAAGATTCAAGTGAGTGCCCAATTCACTCATGCTTACGAAAGCAATCAAACCTTAATAAGAAAAAGACAAACACACGTTTGCATATCATAAAGCAAAAGGTTTGATATCAAAAAGCACACTAAGAATATGATTATCTTCTTTCTCCGATGAAAATATGTATAAGCGCAACCCGAAAATGGATATTTTGCATCTCTTGTTCTTATCACAATAAAATTAAAGATATAACTGATAATCTGTGCGACGGGAAAAACCAGAGACGGTAGTAACAAGTGTGAAACTTGACTACATGCTCTAGTCGTTTAAGTCTTTGTGAATTCGGCGATTCTTCAAGATAGAGTCGTTCCATCCCGGTTATTAGACACTGGTAAACTTTCGTTTCGTTTTATAACCATGTGGGATTCCGTCACTGTAGTGAGCAATGTGCGGTCAAATGTTTGATGGAATGATTGACGGACATCGAGTCGCCTTATGAATAAGGGGCTTCTGACCGACTGATGACGTTATCATGGGTTTCATACATGCTCGTAGTTACTTATAAGAACTTAGTGTGATCCTTGTATGACAGAACCCAGGAGTCTGCATGGTGAGTAACGATGTAAGAAAACGTATGTCGCAAATCGTAATACGTCTTGAGTGAAGATAACTGTCGATTGAGCTCGAGTTGGAAAAGATTCAGCTGGACACATTGGGTTTCTGTTCCGGCTTGTTCAGAGCTTAAACCCACAACCATTAAAGCAGGTTTCATAAATCCCCCTTGAAGTCAACGTTTTGTGTCGCAAACGAGCCGGGCTGTTGCCCATCCAACATTGGCTTACACTGGTTTACAAATTTCAGGTAACGCGACAGAAAGAGCGTCAGTTCATCGTCATGCGTTTGCAGCTGAAAATGAATCTCTAAGCTGTAGGTGAAATCTTTCTAGCAACCCGTAAGCTTGTGGTCGGCAGTTGTTCATTTGTGATTGTGCGACTTCCAGGAGTGTAGCAGGACCGCGTAAGAATTCATATATGAACTGGAGTCCACGGGAAACGTAAGAAAACGCCTTCCATACCCTCGTATCTTTGTCCATACCAGAACAGCATAGTAGTTTTGACATGAGCTAAATGAATGTCCAAACACACGAACAGAAAAGCATATGCGATGCATTGAAGTTATCTCAGCAACGTTTCAGCACGATTGTGTCGTCTCTACGTGTACATGTGTTGTATTATAATGTTTCCTTACCACTTCTCATATACTTGGTTTTTAATTCCAAGGTTATCGCCAGTAACGTTTTCTGAAGATCAACGTTTCCTTCCTGAAGTCGATGGAGTCAACAAAGATCAATTCGCCTAAAGATTTTAAACATTGTTTTTCACAAAGACGTGTTCTACATCCGAAATACTTGTCTGTGGGGAGTTGAGGGATTTCTGATTGATGAAAAGAGTGAATTCTCAGCCCACTACTGAGTATTGAGTGTCATTAAGCACAATACACACCTAAAGGTACCCTGTCGAGTGCTACAGGTTGATTCAATATCTTTCCAACTTCTGGGAGAGGGTGCAAAAGGCTGCCAGTTTTTATTTATGCGTTGTTGTAAGACACCTCCAGTTAATGGTTCTCATCCATCTACGTTGGTACCAATGGGTGCTCTGGTATTTTGATGTGCAAGGGTCGTTATGTTGGTGATACTGTCCTTAGGTGTGGGGTAGTTTTCCTTCTATTTGTCGCCCAATTTTACAGGTTTTGAACTCAAATTAAGCTTATCTGTTGAGGGCCTCACAAGGGATGCGCAATTCGGCATGAACTATCAGTGAAACTTTACCAATCCGCTGAAAGTGTCCGATGACATGACTGCGTTTCATTCTGTGCAAGTCAGAGTATCACGAAGACGAGTACCTTAAATGTCAATGGTTTTCACGAGACAATGCTAGTTTACCAATTGAGCAAGCATAGTTTATACACAAAGGTACGCTTAGTGTGTCCGAGAAAACCCGTGGAGTCGGTTTCGATCCGATATTTTTAAATGTTTACAAAAATGCCGTGTTTGTGCGGTCGTTCGAAAACATAGCCCGTATGGTGAAAATGAGATTCTACGTCCGCCAGCCATCTACACATGCGTGCACGAAGTCGCAACCTCTAAAGATATCATCGATGAATCATTGTATAGTTTGTGCAGCCATATGAATTTGGTTATATGTTTTAACGTGATCAATTTTTGAGAGACTTCTGTGCCATCGTATTCGGAATATGAAATCCAAGCAACGTGTTCTCGTTTCACGTATGAAACAGATATGTCCGAGCAAGTTCAACGCCAAGGGACAACAGCACCTCAACATATTTCCGCTATTTTACCACAGGTTACGGGCTGGCTTAATACTGGCTTGCCTTATACTGAATCGCGACGTTAGTATTATTGTGTCTTATCTTTTCTCTCAGTTTAGGACTGATAGTCTAAGAGGACACTCTAAGTTCAAAGCCGAAGCCAAGTTGCTCATTCTTATCGCAAGAAGAATTGGATTACGGGAATTCTCCGTCAGAATGTGTAATATTAAACTATTCTCTTGATACATTCAAAGCAAGATTGGATCTACACAGTTTGATTGAAGTCCTATCCTTGAGATTGAAGATTAAAGAATGAAGAGTTATAAAGTAACCAGGTATAAAATGCTTGCGAGTTTTTACTTTGAAAAGGTTAAATAATCAGTTTTGTAGTGGTTGTTTGTTAACATCAACAATACATACTTTGAACACATAGCGCTTCGATTTGAAATTGTTGGTAGATTGTTTGGTTCTATAACGTTAGTTGGGCAGTTGCAGTTAATTGGAAGCCAAATGATCGGAAAACTTATATGCATCTCATCGGGTGATTAACTCTGACAACAATCCCAACCAAATGATCGAGTCATCCATTAATGGCCACACACGGCTGCTGCCATAATTATGTGGTCTAGTGATTTAAACGTTCGAAACATACTCTGAACGACCTAATTAAGTTCAGTTGCATCATGAAACTCAAGGAAACGACCAGAAAATTAAGGGTTTAGTAGGCACACCTTGTTACAAGTAGTCAGGTTTTAGAACTCGCTACCGGCCATGGTCCAATGAATTCTGTAGTCCCTCATGAACTTTAAACACTATTTCATACTAGTTTGCTAATGCTCTTAGTTCTTTTGTCGTGGAATTAGTTGTCTGTTGCTACTAGACACGTAAATGCATAAAGCGAGGGCTTCCACTCCACCCACAACCATTATAACCGTATATGTGCACATTTCAGTTAGTCAGACGCAATGTGAGTTCTCCGCAAAGCTTGGCACATATATACACCGGTTCAACATACTATACCCCATCAGCACATATCCATGTGTGTACAGATTTATTACTGTGATTCGAGTGAATTGTAGCAACTCGCACAAGAGCTGTCATTGCTCGAGAGATGGAGTTTATTGGTAACTATCATAGCTCAAACTCCCAACTGGGAAGAGTTTGACCGATGTGGGAATTTTACTCCAAATCTACAATTATTAGAGGATTCTTCATAATGTTGGGGGGTTAAAAGGTTTTAAAGCTCATGGAATTTGAAATTATGGGTAAAAGCAGTACGCTGAAGCATTTGTATTTAGTTGAAGTCTGTCAGACTTCATTTTATCAAGAATTATCCATAACGTGTCAAGTAATCTTCTGGACATAAAGTGGCCTACTTAAATGACCAATACGGAGTAACAATTGTATCTGGTGCTTCATTTTTTATAAATAATAATGATGGTTATATCAAAATTGCAATGTTGGACAACTTTGTAAATGATCTTTAAATTTTAACACCGACCTCTAGCTAATGAAAACTGTCAAAGTCAAAAGTCTCACTAAAACGGTAATAAGAATCACATGCTTACGTTCATTTTACATGACCTTCGAGTTCATCATGGTGTTATGTGTTTTTAGTCCTCAAGCAGAATATTTATGCTACTACCGTCCGAGGAAGTATTTGTCTACGACTATTTTCTTTAGCGAGCCATGGATGCTTGTGAAGATTTTCCACGATATTTGTGCACATATACTACGAATGGTCGATCAAGTGACCTGACTGGCTGGGTGACATAATTTATGGGATGAACAAGAGCTAGGTCTAACAGTCATATCTTCATTCATGAGAGTGAGTAACCTATAGGGCTTTTATCGTGAGCAGCGACCACTCGACCATCTTTTACCACTACTCTTCATCTATGGATTAACATCCTTCTATTTTAACTATCGGAAATCCGTTCAAATCAATGAATCTTTCCTTCAAGTTACAAAATAATCTAACCCAGCTGGATCCTAGGTTTTGTGTGACAACCATGATGATAGATTGGTGACGTTAGGTGATGTGGCTCAGAATGTGCTACAATATCATAGATGCATTTAATTCACATCCTTTCTTAGATCTTGGTTTTCAATACTCCTTCATACAATTGTTTTGGGACTTGATTCTATTATCGTTGGTGCTGCTGATATTTTGATGACTTCGCTGTTTACCCTTGTGATTTTGTCTCGCTCTTTTGATGCTAATTTGTACCAAGCTCCGCGTTAGTAATGACTGACTGAATACTAACCAGCCATTTGGGTTCGGTCAGTCAAAAACTCGCTATTCCTTATACGAAAAGGGTTTCCTTAATGAGTACACAAACTCGGGATATGTTACTGAGTTACACTGTCATCATTATTGTTGTTTCTTAGATTCTTGATCGCTGTACACTTTAGGTGAATCCATTAAATTGTCTGCTAACTGGTTTCTCAGTTTTACTCATGAATTTGACAGATTGTTAACTTTTACTTTCCTAGCTTTGAACTGTCTTGAACTAAACGCACTTGGCTTCTGCAAATTATATAATTGATAATTTATTCGGAAAATTGGACTATCATGTCTAATAATGCTTGCAAAGGTATTTTATTGATTTATGTCTTACATTTACGAAGGTGATGTTCTCACATTTTTTGAGAAAGAGAACAGACCTTTTAGCGTTGTTGACGTGTGTAGTGCTTTAAAGAATTATGGAAAAACGGTAACTATACGTGTTTAAATTAGCGATTCCGTAGGGTATTTCTAGAGCGCTGGATGATCTTGTTGAAGAAGGTTCAATTAAAGAGAAAGTTTATGGAAAGCAAAAGGTTTATGTTTATGACCAGGTTAACACAACGCACCGAAGTTTTTTTAATTCACTGTAGACTAAGCTCCCTTTATCCGATGAAAGTGAGATAAGAAAGATGGAGGCTCAAAGTGCAAATTTATCAGTTGAATTAACAGAAGAACAAAAGAAATTGAAAAGTGTAATTGAGGGTAAGGTGCACTAGTTCTGTTTTTTCATTTTTCTCTAGAACTTAAAAAGATCACTTCTAGTCTTACAAAGGAAGAAGCAGAAAAAGAGCTTGCTCAAGTAAAGGAGAAGGTGAGCATTTTCTTAACTAGCTGAGCTTTATTTTGTGTAAAAATTATTTTTAAAGATTAGTTAGATGTGTTGGTTTGTTTATTAACGGCTATTAATTTTTTTAGGGAAAACGAGAAGCCTGTAGTTGTTTTTCTTGATAAATCAAATGTATACTAAGCAATATTAGAAATGTAGACCCTAGCTATAACAGTAGGGTTCTGTTTGTAATTATTTAAAAGTGAGTTAATCAACCAAACTGTTGAAATAACTGCATTTTTGCAAATCCTATCGTCTGTCGAATTTTCCGTCGCACTTTGAGTTTCATAATTTTTTATGGTCCCAGTTTATAATACTCAGATAAGTATGGGGCGCCGCAATTTTAGGGAGGTGCTCTTGAACCATTGTGTGCCTTGGCATAAAACAACATAAAATGTGGGCTATCCTACCAATAGCCACTGATTCCGTGTAATAACATCTTGTGGTCTATTTCCTCTTATGATATACCAATCTACTACGTTAAACACACGTTTGGCGATGTTTGAGCATCCATATCAAATTGAAACCACCTTAGGTCCACAGTCTTATCAACTGATTTACCAACTCTATTTACTAATTGACTCAATGCCTCTGTATTTGCTTACTCTGTCGTTCAATTGCACGCATTTAGTACTTCAAAGATAGCCTTTATTAAATACAAGGATTCTATACGTATCCTAAACCTTCGAAAAGCCGTTTTTCACACTTATACTCACCATTTTATTAACGGTTGAATATATTGCCTGATTTTTATGACGTTAGTAAGCTCAAACTGACCAGTTATATTCGCGCCGAGATTTCTTCAGCTAGCAGTACACCACAATTTATAGGACCCAGGCTTAAGCAGAGGATGGTTGTTTGTTTAATTAACTCTATGGCGTTTGTTATAGGATATATATATATATATATATATATATATTCCAGAATTTTGGAAACTGCTGAACAGGATACATATGTTGTCATAAGGCATCCGTCACTTTAAATCCAACTTGATTGGAAGGATCAACATCTTGTCGCCAACACTATGATCATTAATCTAATCCACGTAATGGAAGTTTCTAAACCGCCTCCCTTGAATACCTGAAAGTCACTTGTTGCATTCTCATGCTTTCGCTTTCATAGTACGATAACTACCAGGGTCTCGTCTTAGCTATATCTAGTTGAGGGATATTCGTTAGTTCACCTATAGTCAGCTGAAACTTCCTAGAAAATGTCCTACGCACATAATAGTCCTGCGGTTCGTCTCGTTCTTTATAATTATGTTAGTTTAGAGGTAGATGGGTCTTTTATTATTTTAGCTCACTGTTTACATTTCACATTGATCTTTTAGCTATAGTCTTCAGTCTTTTTACATCAATATGTTAATCGTCGTCAATGGCTAATGGTAATCTCGTAGACAGCGAAATGTTTTTATATAATTTAATATGCTTCTCTTAGTTGCCTTAATGTTCTATTTGTCGTTTGTTTGAAGCTAAACGAAATCGAAACGGAAGTAAAAGCACTCAAAGCTAAAGGACCAGGTATCTCTGAAGCTGATTTGAAACTGGTTAGTTTTCCATTGAAAGTTATCTTCTATGTTTCCGTAGAATTTTTAAATAAATTACCCACGTTGCTACTGTAAAGTATATATAGTTTTTTTCAGCTCACTTGTGGGACTAGATCAGTTTTTGCTTGAAAGCCTATTTACTAAATACTGTTACACTACGCGGTTCTATATCTAACTAATATTTAAGTACACCATACCAGTTTTATTACGTTGTGCCATCACGTGTTAACGATATCAAAAATTAGGCTTGGTAATTATGCCTCAATTTCATTAGCACTTTATTAACCCTCAGGACTCATCCTGAAACTTCATTTGTTAAATAGCATAAATTTCGGGTTTTAGGTGTTTAATGAAAAGCTTGTCAGTTACTGGTAAGTCTTGTTATTTGAACGCTATATTCGGTTCCTAAGCTATTCTTGTAACCACATATTATGCTACTGACCGATAGTAGCACACCACGTTGGTATTCTAGAAAGCTCCATCATGCTCTGATTGACTAGGACTCTTCGGCTCCTTCAGGGCCTCCGGAGGCTCCGTTGCAATTCTCGGAAAGCGGACTCAGCACTTCCCCCGAATAAGATTTCTTTCTAACGTCTACTTGTAGCTTGACAACTGGGTTGCGGCGGCGTCTCATTATTCGACAAAAAGTCGGTGAAGATGTTGTTCATAGGTTTTATCATTCGGACTCCATGAATTTCGTAGTCGGAGGTGATTGTGTTGATGACCTGTAAACTCGTGTTTTTGTCAATTAATTTCTTGTTGCCCATATCTACTAGTAGGTTGTGAGCACTGAGGAAGTCGGCTCCGAGAATGGATTGTCTGACTTGAGCTACGATAAACACCTATGTGAATTTTCTACGGAGACCGAGGTCTAGGAATAATGACTGTTCTCCGTAAGTTTTAATGACAGTGTTGTTGGCCGCGACGAGAAATAATTTAGTACACTCAAAGTGCCGTCGTCGAGAGAGATGTAGTGGGAAGATGCTGATTTCGGCTCCAGTATCGACCAGAAAATCTGAGCCTGAAATTCGATTCCTGGTGTGAAAGAGACGGCTTGGATAGTGGCCAGAAACAGGCGCCGCTATCACTGTCTGGCCGGGCCGTTTCCCTGATTCACCGTATCAGTTGAAGGAAATGTGCACGATCATGTACGACTCCTTGCTTTAGCGCCGTATTTGTAATGATACCAGCAGACTTCGAAAGTTTGTTTAGGAGAACGTGAACGCTGCCGAGATAAAGATCTCCGTCTAGAATAGAATGTTTGTTGTCTAGCTTGAACAGTTGCTGTTGTCGTCTACAGTGACGCTAGTTGACTCGTTAGTTGTGTTAACTGCCTTTGGAAAGAAGCTAAGCAACTGGTATCCGCTGCTCCAGGTGGTTGCACAGAGTTTACGTAGTGACTATCATGATAAACTTCCATGATTTTGTCCGCCATGTCGGCTAAATCATCTAGGGCGACCGATTTCCCCGAGACACTAAGGATTTGTCTAATGTTATGTGGTAATCGTTGAAACCACATTTGTTTTAGGAGGGCTTCATCCAGTTTGTATGGGCCCGCAAATTGTTTCATATGTTGAAGAATTTGGGAGGGTCTCTTGTCTCCCAGGTCGCAAGACGTTAACAATTGTTGAAGTCTTTTTTCATCTGAGACTGAAGTGCGTTGAATTACCGCTGCTTTTATCTTATCGTATGGTTCCGACTCAGACACGTGGTCAATTAAGTCCCCAACCTCAGCAGCAATCTCGATGGGGAGTGCACCAACAACACAGATTACCACGACGCGCAATGCTAACCGGTGTTAGGGATGATTGGAAGAAAGTTAGGGGCGGCCAAACCAAAACGTGGCATCAGTGCTTGAAGACACTAACTTCTGGTCTGAGCCATGTTGGTAGATGCAGACTACCTGGTTGGGATCCGCGTGACTATCGTAACCAATGGTTGGAGACTCTTGGTGACATGGCTCAGAATCGATCACAATGGCGTCGGTGTATACACTCTCTGTCTTCCTTTAAACTAAGAGAATAAAATCACTTCAAATCTTTCTTTCTACGAACTAATTCTATCTTCCTGTACTATCTCCTTATACACACTCTTTCTTCTATATATAACCACCACTGAATTAACTACTTCTATGAATCCTGTGTTCATCTTGTTGTGCTAATGCGGTATGGCAACTTGGACCGATGCATATACGTGCCTGGTCCTACGTTGCAGCTGACTGACTGACTTTGTTGCTTGTGAGCGTATGCTTCTGGCCATCAATAAAGGTTCTCTTTGTGCAAACCAGATTCTTGGATTATTAGATCCGTATATTGGGAGTCTGAATTCGGAGATAGCATCAACTGGGCTTAAAATGTTTTCAGTAAGGTTTGACACTGAACTAGAAGTGGTTACTGGAGGAGGATCCATATCAGGAAGTTTGGTTGGAGAGGACATTACATGAAAAATGAACCAGCAGGTTGGTACGTGTTCTATTGAATTCGGTAACAGAATCCACAGTTATAGGTAAATAATAATTTCAATGAGATGATATGGCTCCAGTAGTATATCCGAACGTAGAATGTAATGCGAATGTTTCAACAGTCTATAAATATAGATGATAGTTAATTAATCGTTCCGTTATCATATCCACAAACATGATAGAACGAGAGACGTATGCATAGTCAGTCAGTCAGCTGCAACGTAGGACCAGGCACGTATATGCATCGGTCCAAGTTGCCATACCGCATTAGCACAACAAGATGAACACAGGATTCATAGAAGTAGTTAATTCAGTGGTGGTTATATATAGAAGAAAGAGTGTGTATAAGGAGATAGTACAGGAAGATAGAATTAGTTCGTAGAAAGAAAGATTTGAAGTGATTTTATTCTCTTAGTTTAAAGGAAGACAGAGAGTGTATACACCGACGCCATTGTGATCGATTCTGAGCCATGTCACCAAGAGTCTCCAACCATTGGTTACGATAGTCACGCGGATCCCAACCAGGTAGTCTGCATCTACCAACATGGCTCAGACCAGAAGTTAGTGTCTTCAAGCACTGATGCCACGTTTTGGTTTGGCCGCCCCTAACTTTCTTCCAATCATCCCTAACACCGGTTAGCAATGCGCGTCGTGGTAATCGGTGTTCAGGCATACGCAGCACGTGACCCAACCATCTCAGTCGATGAAGGTTCATAACCTCATTAACTGATTTACCATCATTCCCTAATACCCTGCGTCTAACCTCACTATTACTTACCCGGTGATCCCAGCAGATACCCGCAATATTTCTAAGGCACCTGTGGTCAAATACTAGTAACTTACGAATATCTTCTACTCTTAAAGGCCATGTTTCGCAGCCGTATAGTAGAACGGAGCGAACCGCCGCGCAGTATACTCGTCCCTTAATTGATAGACGAATATCTCGCCTTCGCCATAGATGACGTAAGTTGGCAAAGGCCAAACGAGCTTTTCGAATCCGTGCTGAGATTTCGTCACACACCAACCCATTAGGGCTGATCAGACTTCCAAGATAAGTGAAGTTGTCAACGCGTTCGACTACTTCACTCCCTATCCTTTATTCAGGTGTTGACGCAGACCAGTCCTGAAGCAACAACTTGCATTTAGAGGGAGAGAAGCGCATCCCAAACATTCTGGCATTGTTGCTCAGTGCTACCAAAAGACTCTGCATTTCATCAGCGTCTTCACCAAACAGGACTATGTCATCTGCGTATTCTAAGTCAATAAGTGGACCTCCTGGTAGGAGATCAATACCTGAGAATTCAGTCGATGAGAGCGTTATTTCCATCAGTAGATCTATGATGAAGTTGAACAAAAATGGAGAAAGTGGACAGCCTTGGCGGACACCACTTGAGGTTGCAAAAGCAGATGACAGTTCGCCATAAGCTCTCACTCAACTAGTAGTGTTCGAGTAAAGAGCCTTCACAAGGTTTATGTACTTCTGGGGTACGCCTTTCAATGACAGACACTGCCACGGAATCTCGCAGTTTACGGAGTCAAATGCTGCTTTTAAGCCAAGGAAGATCACCATTGTCGGACGCCGATGAGTATGCCTGTGTTCTAGAACCTGACGAATGGTGAATATGTGGTCGATGCATCCACGACCAGATTTGAAACCAGCCTGAATTAGTCGTGTTTGCAGTTCACGAGTCTTAGTTAGGTGTCCGATAATTATCAAGGCTTGTATTTTAGATACTATATTAGTCAAACTAATCCCTCTGTGGTTGTCACAGGATGATTTTGACCCTTTCTTGAATATTGGGACGATAAGTGATTGTGACCAGTTAGATGGAATAACGTCTAACTCCCAGATTTTAGCTAAAATATTAGTCAACCTAATCGCTAAAACTAGACCACCATCCTTAAAGACCTCTGGGGCCAATCCATCTGGACCAGCTGCCATTCCTCGTTTCAGATTAGCTATAGCCTTTTGAACTTCAGCTAGAGTTGGGGGACCTACTTCAATGTTCCATTCAGGCTGTCTGGGAATAGAGGGTAGTTGTAGAGTAGCTGAAGGCCAACTGAATTGCTCCTTAAAATGTTCCGCCCATCGTTCTAAACGTCTGGACTGGGAGCAGATGAGAGTGTCGTCTTTTTCCGAAATAGTCTGACTTACACATGATTTATTAATTCCAGTTTCTTTTATTGGTCTGTAGAGTTGTCTTGTGTTCCCTATAGCCGCCGCCTTTTCCATCTCTTTTGCTTTCGTTGCCCACCACTGCTCACGATCATTCCTTAGACTTTTGCGTAACCTAGATCTGATTTCTTTACGCTCTTCATCGTGTTCAGAACCTGATGGGATGAGTTTACGAGAATCTATCAGTGCAATAGACCTTGAAGAAATCCATTGGTTCTTTGTAACCCTGTGGTTTAAATCACCAATAGATGTCACTGCTGTTTCCACAGCTGCTTGTATGTCTTTCCAATCAACATCAGGGTCAGCCTCGTTTTCAGAACTACCTAAGTGTGACCTCAGTTGTTCCTGGAACCTACTTTTGGT